CGAGTGGGAAATATGGCTTTTGTAAAATATTATATATTGATGGAATCGTAATGTTATTGTCGATGATGTCATTATTATTTTATAACGCATTTTACACAGCACTCGATTCGGAGATTTTTACTTGAAACAATTTTCAGTATATAACTAAAAAAGCCACATTATTTTTTGATATAATAACAAAATAGAGCGCAAGAATCAAACAAGGCTTTTTCCACGTTCGATTGTTACTAGCTTGCGGAGGCAAAATATGAGATTAACATGTGCTTTATGCAAATTAACCGCGCTTTTAAGATATTAACATAATTAGGATCTTATTAACTGACGTAAAGACTGCGAATATATCTCCTCCTTAGTAACATAAATATATAGCTGTGCAATATTTATCAAAAAATGCGATAATTGTTAATTTGTAACTTAGATTGTTAATTTGAGAGCTTATTCGTATATGGCATGTATTTATATATAAATTTAAGTCCTTTTATTGCGACAATATTGTTATTTATTATACTAATTTCTTTGAGAGAAAGATAGACAAAATTAGCGATTAATTAACCTTAATTCGTCATTTATAATTTATACTGACGTCAAAAATGTGCCTATACTAATTAACTGGTATGAATTGTATACGATTATGCTATGCTTATCTAACACTAGTTATTTGCTAACACAAACTATGTCTATGTGCAATAATCTGCGATATAAACTTGTCTTACCATGGTAACGCTATATGCTATAAATGTCTACTTTATTATATAGAAATAATAATTAGCTATGTATCGTATATATAACATGCTAAAGATATACAGGTGTTGTGCAAGTTATATGTGATGTGAAAATTGTCATGTTTGCATATCATAATTTTTACGAAGTTCAACGATCTTAATAATTAAAATATGTAATTAATTGCTACTTTCAATTACAAATTTAATTATTAACGCATCTTCAACTAAAAATATTATGATGTACATTGGTCTAATTATAACATAATTATTTGAATGATGAAGTTAAACAGCGAATTTAATTAATAATTTGAAATTTTTTTATAATCTTAACATTCGGGAAGAAAAATATATATACATATATTTTTTTCAAAATAATATATATATATATATATATATATATATATATATTTGGGAAAACGCAGACATCTAAATTAAGTTCAAAAAAAGATCTAGTAAATCTGAAGAAGGTATTAGTAAGAATTATAATAAATCCTTTACACACGGTTCCAGAAATAATCAAAAATATTAGACACAAAAGTATTACACGATATATTTTGTAGCGATTGAGAACTCGCAGTTTTAATGCTTCTCACTATATTTTCGTAACAATATGATACTCGATATTGTCTATGCGAAAGACACGGATACATACAACGACGATATACGACAATATACATAAACTGTAACAATATCTCGACAATTATTTGGAATGCAAGGTGGCACAACAACAGAGATGCGAGTCGGCAGTGGCTCCTGGCAGGAGAGTAAACAGAATGAAAAGCAACAACACCAACCGGAGACATACACCCTCCGTGCCGACGCTCGTAACACATCCCGCCTCACCCCGGAACCCGCAGCTCTCTCCGTTGCAGGTCCGTTTTGCGTTCTTTGTTGCTTTGTTACCCTAATCGTATCGTTTTGTTCGCTCTTTGCTTTTGCGTTTATCGCATCTTTACATTTTGTACGAATCGCATTTTGTCTGCTAGTTCGTATGCGACACTTATTAATTTTTGTGTTTACATACGCTTTATATCCTTGAAAGATCATTATAATTATGAATAATATATAGCGCAAATCATTGTCATATATGTATATGTTATAGAGTTGATGAGGTCTCCAGCAATGAGGTGGTCCAGCAGAAGTTGTCGCAGTCTGCCTCCGACACCCACACCGAGTTACCATCATCCACTTCACCCTCCTCTACCCGCCGTAGGCATGGTTGCCGAGAGAAAGAAGCGTTTCGAGCTTTAATTCTGATTTCTTCGTTTTTTGTATACTTTGAAAGTAACAAAATTAGAAACGATTGACTTTTCCCGAATATTGCACATACAGAAATAATCAAAATGATTATTCTTGATATATCTAGAGGAAACAAAATTGAAGCAAACCGAACAATAAAATATATTGCCACTATTTATAATATTAAAAAAGAAGAAAATTTTGTGCAGTATGCACTTTTTGGCTTTGAAATTGCAAGAGTGAGTATTTTGATATCACTCCATTCATGGACCAATAAAAATAATATCTTTAAAATCGTTCCACACGAAAGACCATTTGGACAATACCATATCTATGATCCACGAAGCGTGTGAATCGTAGTTCCACCACTGCCATAGAATCATGTAAAGCTCAAAAGATTTTTGATGGACCAAAGTCGAAATGCCGGTCGTGCTCGTCGTGTTAATATTGAGCATGTTTATCAGGTAAACATGATTCAATAGCCGAAACGAGTTCCGATTATTAGGAGAGGGTAGATTCTATTCCCCCTCTTTCCCTTTCACAATATGAAAAGGCGTAATGTTGAGAGTTCATCACGGACCTATCGATCGCGATAGGTCGTTTTTGACAGAATTTTTCCCGAGAAAAAATTTTGCTAAACGTGTTTACTCACGCCGCGCCGTTTTGCGAGCGGCTGTTCTTTGATATGCATTTAGATTTTGATAAAGGATTTTTTTTACCGTAGGTTGCGAGTAGTCCTTTTGCTACGATTGACTTTTCACGAATATCGACTTTAAAATGCATATTTTGGGGCATTATTTATCGCAAAACGCTTTACGCGCGAAACTTTCCGCATATATACCCTTTGGTGCTAAAAATAAACGTATGAATTACGAGAAAAAAACGTGTATTACGAATCATGTATACAATCATTATAATAGCCTATTATAATATAGCGTAGAAAATCATCACGTAAAACTGTGTAAGATTAAGAGTAAATTTATCAGGTTCTCTCGATTTTCGTGAAATTTGCAAAATTGATCAAGCACTTTATAATATAACGTCAAATTAATCCTACTTTGCACTTATTATTAAAGAAGATTAAATGTTAAGAGTATTAATATTTAAATGTTTAAATATTGCATATTATTACATTCTCGTAATTCTGAAAGTAATTTGTTGAATATGTTTGCTAAGTTAAACAAAAATATTCGATTTTATACTGGTTAAATTTGACTCTATTTATGTACGCCTGTTTCCAAAAGAAATCCCGTTGAATTTGTTATCTTTTGAGACGTAAATAGTTTATGTTATACAATTCTGATTATTAAGGAAAAGATATTTTTCAAATACATCTCAGTTGAAACAATATAAAAGAAAGGGGAAAGATTTTTTGTTTGTTATTCGAGAACACACACACACAAAGAGATCGTTTCTTGTTTCTCACTCTTGTTATGTATAGATTTTGCACATAATACGGCGTTATGGCATTGCACTGTGTATTATCGCATTTTCTCATTATGTAAATGTTTTCAGATTGTAATCATTTGATGTTAATATTGTATAGTTTATGATGTTTTATTATGGATTAAGAAAATATAAATAGAAAATAATTCCTCTCTTCCCCTCTTCCCTATATTATATATATATATATATATATATATATATATATATATATATGAATTGTTTATATATATATATATTATTATTGTATTCTATTATATTATATATTATTGCGATTCGTTCCAGTGATTCGCTTGATATTAAGATGAATATTAAAAACTTCGATTTTCTCTTATGTAGAGTAATTACTCAGGATTGTTTAACATTTATAATATATTATGCTATTGTATTTGTATGATAATTTATAACACGTTTGAAATAAAACACAATAACCATGAACATTCATTAGACAATGTGAATTATTTTATTTCTTAAATTCTATATCTACAAACATCAATTAAATATATTGATTTGATATTTTGCTTCTTTTGATTTAAAAATTCACATTATATTGAATTTGATCTTCTTTCACTAGAAAATTTCTAAGAAAGTACCTATAAAAATTAGTATAAGATTTTAGATTTTGATAAGCTTTGTCATATTGTTATAATTCTTATATTTTTTTAAATATGTCTAAATTTTAAAAAAATATACTTTAAAAAGCGATGCATTTAAAATCTTTGTAGATTTTGTACACAATTTATAATATATATAGATTATTACATATAATATATTAATAATCGATAAATTTCTTTGTGATACATCAATAACTTTACAATACATGTATACATGTCTTTATTATCAACTACATAAAATATAGAATAAATATGAGAAGCGAAAATTTTCATGTATCTATGTGTAATTCTTATTAATGATATTTATTTTTACATTATCTAATTCACTCTCATAGAAAAGAATATGCTTATATGATGGATGGATTGCTATCTTGTCAGAAATTTGCTGCTCAGATGATATTATTATAGCATCAAAAATATTGATTTTATATATTATATTTTTATATATCGAAAGAAAAGTAATTCATAATCGTTTTCAATTAATTTTAGTGATGAGAAACATTTCTTTGTATCGCTTTTATATTGCTAAATATTTATTAGTTAGAAATGTTTTTAGAAATGTTTTATTTAGATAGTGTAAGAACAGACAGAAATCTCTCTAAAAATACATTTGTCTCTAATTCTGGTCCTGATTTTCTGTAGGATAGTACAGATTCATTCTAGTATATTATAAAGCTCATTGAGCCAGACAACTCATTCATTCATATACAAGCTGAATAATAAAAATCGTTGGTTTCGGTATAATTCTATAATTTATGCAATTTATGCATAAGTATAAATATGAAATATATAAAATATATAATAATATATAAACATTATGTCTGTAAATTAAAAATTTAAATTTACATGTCTAGGGATATACGTGATGAATATTCGAATACAATAAAAATTGATGCAACTTCATTGCATTCTTGGCATCTAGCTCATCTCACTTGCAATTATCTATTTCGTCACTTGTATAACGAATAATTAATTAAATATAATGGAATCATTGTTTAACTTACACACCCTATTGCCGCAAATGAAGACCAAGTTAATGTCGGGAACGAAAAGTGCACAGGTATTGTAATAATATTCATCTTTATATTGTAAATTAACTTGATTCTCATGTTTCACATTTACGTCGAACGCTATTTTTATATCAATCAGATTGCATGAAGATAAGTACGTAATTAAAATAATTAAAATAAATATATAATTAAAAATAAATAAAGAGAAATATGTATGTATGCAAAATCATCACACAAAACAAATAGGACAGATTTGTATAATATACAAAGGCAAACAATTTTGATCTTATTTGTAATTATCATAATTTTGCAATTATAATTTTATTATTCTTTGCTGCCATGGAAATAGATATGGGTTGCGGAGCAAATGTTAAAGTACTTGCAAGAAACAATCGAATCAAAGAAAGAAACCCTTATAAAGGAATTCGTTAAATGTGATATAATCTCTACCATGTGTGATACAATGCAAACGATTTATTCTTCAGATGAAAATTTCATAAAGTATGTATACATCTGTTTTTTATATTATAATCTCAATGTTTATTTGTGTGTTAAATTTATTTTCTTACATCGTCATTTAAATTACAAATAAAAAATGTTTATGGTGATTCTTTTTGTATGCAGAATCCTTCTCGAGTGTCTTGATATTATGAGTGTTTATAAAGAGTTCTACAAAAATCATACGGCCATGAGTGCTATAACATCAATGTTAAGAATTAGTTACTGTGTGTACACACCACTTAAAGACACGATATTGCTTGAGCAGATTGTGCAAGGCGTCTGTAATATTCTTGTTAGGTATATTTTTCGTTACAAAATGTATAAACATACATAAAGCAAAACTTATTACATATATATTCTATATACGAGTATATTTGATTATTTATTTATTATTTACATTGCATACAATTATATCTATATTATATATGCAAACATCAATAATATGATTAATTATTACGTAATCTTTACCCCAACAATAGCAACATCACGCGTAATTGACGTTACGCATAGCATTGTATATTTAGGAAGCCATTAATTATATTCAACTTTTATAGATCATTAAAATTAGCTATAGATTTCGACACTGTCTGTGTTCCACAACAGATTATATTTTTCATAAAGCACCTGGATATTCAAAATTCGCGCAATGATAAAATGAAATTTATAATTATCGCGATATTAAGTGTTGTTCTGCAACAAGTAATTATCGATGAAATCGACGATGTAGAAGTAATGATTGACGTCTCTTGCGAAGCATTAAAATCAATGATAGAAATTGTCAAGTACGGCGACGATGATAACACGATCTTAGGCGGTACTGTTTTATTATGCAGTACTTGTGCCGGTGGTTCTCGGTAAAGAAAAGATATTCATATAAAGTTATTTTTTTCTTAACATTAATATTCAGTCTATTTTATACTACTAATAAACTCTTTGCTTGGTAGGCTTTGTTTTGAACAAAAAAATCAAAAGTCTGATATTGCCCAAAAGAAGAAGAATTTGTTAATTTGCATTTATGATACTATAATGAATATAATTATACCATATGTCAAAGTACGTATATATTAAAAGTGATGCTTTCTATTGATACATATATTAGAAATGAATTATATGAGTATTATTATTTTGAATTGTATTACTTGATTTATACTATTATATTTTTTTCGGCAGGATACAGACTTGTCTCGCGTAGATTCAAACGAGTTTCACAAGAACTTCATCTTCTGTTTAAACAATCTGTATCAATTAGAAAAGTGTCATCATGATAATCTGTCGAATCATTTGGTTGCTAATGGTTATCTGAAATACTTCTTGCTTTTGACTCTTGAGTTTCCGTAAGTTGCGTCGGTTTTTAATGTTGCATGATTGATAAGACTAAAAATTTATAAAGAAACGCAATTGTGTACATGAGCATAAATTAAATGCAATTATTATAAATATATTTAATTTAAAAAATATTTGAAATTAATTTGATGTTTTTATTTTTTTATAAATTATATTTTATTTTTTTATAAATTATATTTTCTCTTGTGCATCGCATTATTGAAAATTTTCTAAGTGAAAAATATACATAAAGAAAGTTATTTTATTTTTGCATTTTTATATAACGTTTTAATACAAAATTTTGTACTTATCAAATTCTGCAATAGAAGAGATACAATGTAATACTATGAGATCTGTTGTATGTGTTGTATATTATTGTGAAAATTGAATTTTATGTGTGTATATATATGAATTATTGTGCAATAAATATGCAGGAAGCAATGTTCTACATTATAGGAAAAATTTGCAAAGAAACATTTGCGTATTACTATCGCAGATCTTGAGTATTCTTAGTAAAAAAGGATTTTCAATCAAAGACAAGAATGAGTTTGCATATAGTTTACGCAAAGATTTTCTTGACTTAATATCGAAAGATTTGACGAAAGAGCAATGGAACGATGCTGTAGCATCGTATCGTAGAAATGATGGAACAGCTTTGCTGATTTTATTATATTACCATTTTCTAGGCACTGGAAAGTACGAGACTTTATTTTATATATTATAAATTGTTATTTATACTTTACTCACGAATATTATACATTCCATATTGCTTTTAGAAACGATATGATATCTTTGGAATCATTAATTGCCAGAATCATGCATTTTTCAATAGTTAAGCATGTCTCAATTTTGGTTTTAAAACCTTTATGGTTCCTATTTGCTGTAAGTATATTTATCTTTTGCATCATTCGCTAAATATTAATCGCGCTCGAATTTGCAGGTGACAGCTATGTCTCACCAGACCCTTAATTCGATATGTAATTATGAAAATGCAGTTATTAAATTAGCAAATATCCTGCAAAAATTAGAGATCAGCAAGTTTTATACCCATCACATCGATCTTTTACATTATTGTCTTAAATGCCCAAACATTTCGCAGAGTTTATTGAGTGAAGTTTTAAATTTATGGTTGATAGAATCTGATGGTGATATCATGCCATTATTATCAATCAATTGTGACATAGTGGTTCGCCATTTATTGGTGAGCACAAGATTTATTTCCTACAATATCAGAGAGAACAGGAAATTAATATCCTCGATTATATATATTGCTTTTTTGATTATATATTAATATAAAATGAACAATTTGAAGCATTATGTTTTAGTTAAATCATATGTTTTTACTGGTTTTATTAAAAGACCTTTTTTTATATATATAAGAGATTTTCAATCTTCAATGTTTGCGAATAGGTTGTGATACGAAATGGTTATCCCAAACATGTTGTTAATGTAGCTATGAAAGGACTCCGTCATCTAATTCAAATTGATAAAAAAGACAAACATATTGTAGAACAAATTGCGGAAACTGTGTGGCATGTGCTACCCAACATACTTTCATCATATCATTCAGATACTGGTTTGTCAAAACAATTCCATAAACTTCTCAATACATAAATATTAGATTTTAAAAAAGATATATTTCAAGGCAATATTGAACTTAAAAATATATTTATTTTGTTATTTGAAGAGAATCAATATTATGACTGTTTTAGATATCGCAATTAATATTTTATCAATTTATATTTGCAGTTGCACATATAGAGGCAGCTTTGGAATTAGCCAATATTACTCAACCATACATAATACCGATTGATGTTATAATGCGCAGCGCTTATAATATTGTTGATATTATATTAAAGAAGAATACAAATTCAAAATTTATGACTTTAGTTATAACGCAAGCACATGTTTTGCTGGTTTCCGCTATATCACACAAGTCATTTAAAGGTAAAAATAAATATTTGTAAAAATAAATAATTATTAATAATAACAGCAATAAAAACATATAAATATATATATTTACCACGAAAATATATTTCAAAATAATATTTGTTCAAAAATTCGATTGCAGTGCTTCAAATATATATACAAGAAGCGATGTTATTAAAAGAATTGTACGATTATGGATTTTCAGAAGAAAGATCGGAATTGTCCATGATTACTATAAAATTGCTCACGTTTATTATTCATTGCCAAGAAAAATCATCGATAGAGGTATACATAATAATTATCTAAATTACATATGTAAACAAAATATCTAAACAAAATTCTTTAATACTTTCAAATATATTTATTTATCAGTGCGAACAGCCACTCAAGATTCACATAAAAAGTTTAGTTGATCTCCTATCATATGCGAGAAAATCGTCAAATTATATAATATATGAAATGCTATTTATATGCGAACTTTTAAAACAAAATATTGATAAAGCGGCTATTGTTTTGCAAAAAATTTCTGATAATGATATAAATATGGTTATTTATCTCTACGAACTTTTCCATATCATTCATGCAATGGTCAGTATATTTAAAATTATAAAAAGAAATACTCGAAAATATCCTTTATTGTATTACATTATAATTTTTCTATAATAAAGTGTATTAATGATTATTAAAATTAGATAGGAAACAACGAGAGTTTATATCATAATTAATTATTATCTTTTTATAGAAACATGAGCCACAACGAAACACGACATATCAAAGTTTAGTGGTTTTATTACATTTTTGTAAAACTAAAGTAACCACTAATAAACCGCTACTACCTCATATTTGTAACGTAATGAGTAATTATAATCTCATTCTTAATGTCACAAGGATGCAATATGCATCGTGTCAGTTTGTCGAATTCGTTACTACATGGCTTCATTATCGCAAAGCAACTTGCAACGATGTATTGTGGAATTCTAGATCGCTGTGTAAAACACCTTTTGATCATGTTTTGGATCATCTTAAGGAATATTCTGTGATGTTATATAACAAAGGATTCAAAGATGCTCATCAGAGTCTTCAATGTGTAGTAAGAGGGTTTTAAAACTTCTAAAATAAACTACATATTATAAGAATTATCAATATTTTGTCACTTTTATATATTTTTTGTTCTTACATTTTATATTTTTGTCTTAGCTGTCACAGTTCCAATGAATAATATACAATTATATCACAGTACAATTAATTCATAAGGAAGAAGTTATAAAGAGTTTATACATATTTTATAAGAGATTTTGTGAATTTCCTATCTTAAAGTAATTACATTTTATTTTATTAAAGATTTTATAACTATATCCTATATTTTGAGAGAATAATGTCAAATATAGAATAAAATTAAAAGTTTCATATTTTTCGAATTAAGAATAGAAGGTTCTATATTTTAAGAATTTCTGTATTTTAATAATATAACATGTAATAGTATATATGTAGAATATATGTAGAATATACAAGATTTTAAAATATGCAATTTTCTTTATACTCCCTTATACAAAATTGCATTATCGTGTATAAGAATCGAGTATACATTATTTCAAGAATAGAAGTAACATATATAAAGATAGTAACTGGAATCGTGCTATATTGGTGCAGCCAACAGTTTGTTCAATTATATTGTGCAATATCGTTATCATCTTTACGATAACGTCATAAGTAACACGTATGTATAAAAAGTAGAAAAAGATTGTACTTGAATAATAATCTAATTCTTCGATGTACATTTCTCTCCTTCTTCTGGTGCAAAACTTCATGTTATACATGTTTGCTATTTTCGATGCATGATATGCATTTAAATCCATTTCATGTGCTTTTCCAAATATCCAAGCATGCACATCATGCAGGAATCATGTTATCGATTTAATCCTTTCGAGATAGCAAGTTCTAAACAAGAGAGAAGCATTACTGTTACACAACTATAATATAATCGCCGCACAGAAGACGCGTTGCTCTCTCTTTCTCTTTTTCTTTGTTGCACGATATATAATTAATTCCGGAGGGATTAAACGGTATATCGACAGTTCTCCGCGTTAATCGTTCATTTTCAGATTAAAAGTTTTTTTCTACTTGCGTCTCTTTTCATGAGTTTCTTCTTCTTACTTTCGCGGTCGACCGTTTCGCTGCATGAAACAACCTTTGAAGGAATTTAATCTCACGTCAATCTCACCTTCCTCCAACTGAAAATTATTTATCGTTCGTATATTACGTCGCATATTATGTAGTCTGCGTATAGTGAAGGAAATAGTACATCGGATAGAATAGTATATCGGATATGTACTAATAGATATATACGACGCATAGCGATATATAGCAACCGAACGCAATTAATGGAATTGGTATTCCGCGTATATACGTACTTGATCGAATAAATAAATCTCCTTGTAACAAGACGGCGACACGCATTCCCGGATGCATCGTGTTTTCGCAACATCACCGCTCCTATGCTGCGATTGCATTTTGCAGGCTCCGCTCTCCTCGCAAGTCTGCTCAAATTGTCTAAAGAGAAGCTCCTACGGCAGTATATATTTATCAATCATAAATACAATACATCGGTTTGATATTATTTCTTCAATATTAATTTTGTCGTTTATTTAATGACAATAAACTGGATGCGTTTTCAAATATTTCACTTTATTTTTGCTACATATGAATTATTAATTATTTTGTCATAAAACATCTCTAAACAGTTGTCGCAATCAAATATGTCCCGGGATATGAATATTTATTGTAATAATAATCTGGAGAAAATTATTCTGTTACAATTTATATGCGGTATTAATAAAACAAACGCTTGCAGATATTCTGCCCGGGATAAAGTGGAATGCAACAATTGATTCGCGCATGTCGAAAGATTAACCCCAATTAAAATCAATGTGACTTCCTGCACGATATATACACGCCTCTAATTTTCGTCGCAAATAGCTCTGTAGTCTGTCTTTCACCGCGTAAATATAAGCATTATCGCGATAGATCTTTGAAAGAATATTTGTCGAGCATCATTTCGGGAAGCTGTACGTAGTTTTCTCTTATCTTGTTTAATGCCGGAAAATACGTATATGTTCTATGTTTCTGATAAACTTCACATCTAAAACTTCGGATGAAAGATCATCATCCGTAAAATCCCTGATGATACTTTAATACGATTTTCGTTTTTTTTTTTATTGAGAACGTCGCGGGAATATCGCAAACATGAATTATTTTTAATTTTTAAAGGTAACATCCCCTCTGTACTTCTCTACGACGCATAATCGCGTTATATATACTTCTTCGTACTTCTCTGATCACAAAGAAACTCACCATCGCGACTTGTTACGATCTAAATTTAATTTTCACGATCTACTTTTCGCCGAACAAGTTCGATGAAAGAGAATTCTTTCTTATCGCTACACGAATCGCAATGAATTTGAATCAAAACTTTCGAACACAAATATTCGCACGTTATTTTCGAGCAGTTCGTGTACACTTTGACCTTTAGTCGAATATTCTTGAATTAATGGCAAATCGATCGCGGTTCCTTTATTAAATTGTTATCTCAATTTGATCCTATTTTCTTGATTATAAGCGACAATCATTTCTGATACAAGTATAGTCTTAATAATGATTCCGAACTTTTTCACTAATATTTTTTTTCTTCTCAAACAAAAAATATTTTTTAATCATTTTTAATTTTTTAATAACTTATTATTTTTTTATAAATTTCGATTTTTTTCATCAAACCGTACGGATCTTTGATTTACGCAAACATTAAAATAAAGATATTTTATAATTAGTGTTTATACATATAAGAATGACTTGAGATTTATATATATATATATATATATATATATATATATATATATATATATATATATATATATATATACACGCCGTTTAAAAGTCGGAGTCGGATTAGCGTCAACGTTGCCGTCCCCGCTGTCGTAAAAGCGCCACCCCCTCGAATGAGGGTTGCTCGCCATAACCTGTACCAGCGTTCAAGCACGTACCACTCGTCAAAGATAAATCCGACGAATTGTATGACCGACTTACATTCTTGGTGGTTTCCTTGTATTGATACTCGGGAAATGTGAAGGTCTTGGCGAGGGATCCTGGTCCTTCCTGGAGGTGGCCGATGACGAGGATCAAGCTGAGCACGAACGCCACCCCTAGTGCCATGTTGAGCGGAGCCAGTGACCGATCAATAGATGGGGATGGCGCTCCGTCTGCTTCCTCCACCATGTTTCTACTGGTGGAAAATAGGAAACTTTTAGGCTTAATGAATTATGATCGTTGACTTGTTGTCAATATTTCTTTATCAAACCGTGTAATTTTCAAATGCGCAAGTAAATTCAAGTTAACGTTGAACATGCTTTATTTTTATCCGCACATTATTACTCTTATAGTGGATTATTCAATTTTTTATTTTCTTTTTAATTCTAACACGACTTTGCATTTGTATCACAAAAAGTAATTAAATTTCCTTATACATAATTCGAATTATGTAAAATTATTTCAATATTTACTATATTTAATCATGCTGAAACTTAATTTCAACGATATTGACAAAATATAAATATATATATATATATATATATATATATATATATAAGAATTTGCAGTCATTAAAATCCATGACTCATTTTTATTTAAATAATATTATCCTATTTTACAAAATTGTATGTAATATTAAGCTTTATATTTTAATATCTGCATACATCTATTATTAAATAGATATATTCAGTATATAAAATAATGATCTTTTTACATAAGCTGTGAAATGATATTAGATATTATTATTTAAAAATTCAATCGACTCTTAATATATTGAAATAATTTTATCTAATTTTCATATACAATTATTCAATCGTAAAGTTATGATTTCCTCTTTCATCGTCTTCTTTCTTTAAATAGTCATTTATTTATATAATCATTTGAATATATTTAAATATTAATAATAAAATCAAATTTTGTCGTGTTTGTAGTGACGCTATAAGAATAATTAAGAAAACCACGAAAAATTGAAAAAAAAACGCAAAGAACGCCGACGAGTGAAACTTTCTTCGTAATTTAGAATTTCATAAAATTCTCTCCAGAAAACTTTTCTTAAGAAGAACAGCTAGAAAACAAGAGCCTCTAATGCAAGTAGCGCGACCGAAATTCGCGAGGATTAATGGCTGTAATATCTTACTTTTCGAGAGAAAGGAAATAACGCGTGAATCTTAATCCTCTGAATTATTAATCTGCTGGATCTTCGCTTGCTTAAAAATTTCATTCCTCCTGCTTTAATTAAAGTACTGAGCTTCTTTTATTTATATTACATATTCGGGAAGAGAGATAACTCAGGTAACTCAGATCTTTGTTCGCCTTTGTGTATGACTCTAAATCAGACAATGAAAATTTATATTTGAATAAAAATGTTATGCACATAATTACTATGTATGATACAGACTTACAAAATTGTATGCCAATTATGTATTTTCCTACACTTTCATTTATGTTAAAAATACGTTCATTCTTAGCTCTTTAAATATTACTGAATGTTATATATTCATTTATATAATACAAGTATACGTGCAATGTCTTTAATGCAAGATACATTACGTCTCATAAAGTCTTTTTGTGAAATTGTAACATCATAATTCTATAGTCTAAATAATATTTGATTCTTCAACTATTTCTTTCTCTTTTTCTAACATAGATCATTATTCATTCTTTAATCTAACGATACTTTTAAGCGGTAGACTTTTAAATGCTAATATGTTTATATTTTAACAAGCGTTAACAATTCTTGTTTTATGAAACGCATGTCGACTTACGCGTTTATAACAGTGACTCTCACAAACTTTGCACCTTCGACGCCACTGTGACAGTGACATGCGTGAATTCACCGATAACTCCATATAGTCGACGCAGCTGCGATATTTGCATAAAACGTATCGAGGCACATGCACCAGAGCGCACTAGCATTTATCGTTTCGGTGTGTATGCGAGCGGCAGACGAGACACGAGGAACGTTTTTGCCGAGTTAGGCGTTGCGCACCACCAATCCCGAATTCCGCGCGCGGCTTTCGTGCCATTAATTCGAGATTTCGGCGGCGATTAGCAGCAGTTCCGACCCGCCCGATATGTTTCTCTTCTGTCCCTCGCGTGATGCAACATTCTGCCGGTCGCGCAGACAACCCCCTGTGCAACAACGCGAAGAAGTATCGCATTCACATATAAATAAACTCGTTCTTCGTTCCAAGTATAAAATTCGTCCAGTTGCTCCTGTAGTTCTGCAATTCTATCCATATTACATATAATTATCATCTGTAACTTATTAATTCTTCTTGATAATTCAAGTCAATTTTGTAACGAGATACAACTGAATCGATCAATGTTGACGAAAACGATTTCACAAATTTTCAAACTCTAAAAATTTTTCTAGGAAAAATTTTCTAATAAAATATATAATCTTTAAAAATTCTTTAAATATTTTCATCCCGTTAACAATAACCGATTCAATTGTGATATAATTGTGATAAAATTGAAAATTGAAATACACTCCTCTCATCAATTTTCTAAAATTACGTCACCGGAGTGCTGTAATATACAATTAACCGAATGGGTTTCTAAATATAATGTGAAATATATTTAGATGAAATAATGGAGAGAAAAGCAGAACTAATTTGGAACATATAAACCATTTCATCTCTGATATAAAAGTTATCCAATTTGGGAGAAATGAAAATTCCCGTTTAGTTGAATTTAACTAAACGACTGAATTAAACAAAATTTCACTACATTTTATAAAATCTATTTCCAGTGACATTATTCGTAAAAAATGCATGTTACTGAAAATAAGGCGAATATGTTAATGGAAAAAAAGGAAAATATAAAACGTTTTAATTGTGCAAATTTAAACATAATAAAGCGCACATTATTATTTTACATAAATTTATTTAAATCTGAGAATATTAACCTGTCATATTTTCAAAATTTATACCTCCGTTATTATTAATAATAATATAATAATTTTTGTTTGTATTATAATGTAATACAATCTACTTGACTGATATTCGCCTGTTTGTTCGCGATCTAATTACCGTATTGATTGTTTCAGAGGATTATAATTACGCAGATGTTGAGCTCGGATACAGGCTATTTTTTTGTCTCGTCATAATTATCTTCTCACGCTCGATTGAAATTCATAATTAAACTGTTGGATATACACTTGACATAACTTGTTGCCCACTGCTTCGCGTCGAAGATTAATTGAAGATCTTGATAGATTAATCACTTTCCTATTTACTTTTATGTAATGTAAAAGATGTAAAAAATTTCAATTTCATTAGAAACCTATTTTCCACTTTTAAATAGTTTTATATTTTAATAATCTACAATAGTTATATATTATATTTGCGATACTTTTATTTACAATCTATCACTCACATATACTTTCTTTAAGAGAATTAAAAATTATTTATTATTTCGTCGTTATAATAAATCTTTTAGAATATCTATAATCAGGAAAACTTGTGTTTAACAAAATAATGAATTGAGTCTTTGCACAATGAATTATGCTTTGTTGGTACAAACATAATTAACGTCGTTGCATAGCTATATAATCCTCTCCGAAGAGACAGAATAAGCGTAGTTCTCTCGGGTGACGTATTTCATAGTTAGTATGTCACGATAAGAAACAATGAAATACGGCGGATGATCACAAAATACGAGAATCCTTTGTCGCATATCTTGCGAAGATTCATGATTGTAATACACGATAGGTCCAAGTTATTCCCAGGAGGTAGAGAGCTAAATAAATACGCAATTAGTGGATGATCAATATATTAATTGTAAAATAAGAGATACAAATATTCTCAAAATAACGACAAATTATGCAATTATTTTAAGTGCTCCAGAAACCTACATATTAAATGCCATAAATAGGACGACTTATAACTCGCTTATGTCATATTAAATTTTGATACACATAAATTGCAGAGTGAATAATGTCTTATTAAAATTATGCCGCTCAAAACTTGTATGCAGCGGTACATTTAAATTTCTTGTAAAGCCATGCCGTAACATATAAACGAGGAAAGTAAAACAAAATTGTTACAAATATAATTCATCAAATAATAATATATAATAATAATATTCAATGTATATAATATAATAATAATATTCAATGTATATAAATTTTAGCCGTAAATATTCATAAGATATGTAAAAAAATAAATCATTTAATTATATTCTGTCAAATAGCGCAAATATCTTGTAAGCCTGAAGCTTCTTTCACTTTTAAATCTAATGCTAAATGTACTTCCATACATATCTACTACAGAGAAATTTATTTTCAAACAATTGATATTTTACGCGACGTTATATTTATCTCAATATTTTTAAAAGCAACAATGCAAAAGTAATCTCAAAAACAGGGCACAGTAATAAAAGCTGATTTAATTGCAGTGTAATTAAGTTCAGATAGCAGTGTGGTTAATCTAATTACTACGATTAAGATGCTTGTACCAGCGAGATAAATATTCGCAGTCGAATTACTTAGGAAATTTTAATTCCTTCTGTTCGTGCGCGCGTACATAATTAACATTCTGAAACAATATTAATACAAGAAAAAGAAATAAGATTCGATAGAAAATAATTACGTTTATTTTTTATATTAAAATAACAAACATTCAATTAGCAATAAATTGTTTGATCACAAATCGAATTTAAATAACATTAACATTATTATAGTAATAATGGTATTGTAATAGTTTTATATATATAAATAATTAATTAATTAATCGAACGATTGCATTCCGATTCATCTTTTCGTTCGGTATATATAAGTATTTAATCAATTAATCGAACGATTACATTCGGCATGCCATTTTACTCGCCGCGTTACAGTGAATATCGCGCGAGAGAGGCAGGCAACATGGCGCGGCGTCGTGCACGATTTCGACCGTCCGCGCGCAGACGAAAAACGGCCAATTTATATCTCGACTTCCGGATGCGATAGCGATTTCATTCTTTTTGCATAAAATTCTACACCATTTCGCGGCACTACCGTTTAAATCTCGTCCCGATCGCCCGAGGAGCGGCTGACTTACAGTGAATATCCGAAATCTGCTTCTTGGACTCACGCTTAAGTGTAATATTTATATATATCGAATAAAAAAGCGAGTCGGAACGCAATCAGTCGAATAGTGAATTAAATATTTATATA